TCCAACAAGAGCGAGTATTTAGATTCACGTGATTCCACAGTAGCCGAAATTATATGTAACGACGTATGCGAGGCGGCATTAATGCCTTTGATAACGTATAACGTTTTTTGACGTTTTAATCTCTAACACTGTGCTACAGACTCGGTCATAACATTATGTTGTGAGACGCTATTTAATAATTCACGAATTTCTTGAAACAAAAGAGGCCGCCGCTGATAATCATAAATTATTACTGTATTACTGCAGTTGATAAAAGAATCGATGCATTGACGTTCATGTATGAAACGAAGACGAAATTGACGGTGTATTATTGTTTACACTTTTTCCCATTTGATGTTCACTTTGATCACCTAGGGATGGCCGCAATACAAGCACATCATTAACTTGCTTATCTTCCCGCGGTATATGTAACAAACATATTATGCGATTGTGAACATTTAGGACACCGCCGCTGTGTACATCGTTCGCCTGCATGTACTCGTAAACAAATTTTATAGAGATATAACTCGGCTACCTTTTTTATTCTCTCTCTCACGCTTAAACTTAAAAGTGTCGGACATTTATACACCGTATGTGCTTGTTTACCAACAAAACATTTTAGTTCGCTCGTAACTGCAAATCCGTTAGACCTAACAAATTTATTTCTTGCTATAGGCTGTTTGAACTCTATTTTCCCATATTAACAGCCTCTAAAATTCGAAAACGAGATTTCAATAATTTTAAAAGACTTTGCACTTCGGGTTCTCCTTCTCAAAATAATCCAAGCTGGAAATTTATACGCACAATATAGTTGAACGAACGAGTTCAAACCCCAAATTCGACTTAATACTTTTAAGTCAAGACCGCAGTTTGTCACGAGGTTGGCATTCACTAGAATAACGCACTATCCAAAATAAGTAAATTTTTTCATTCAATCCGGACGAAGGACCAATTTTTTGCGGGTTTACTTAGTGACGTAATCAACGCCGCAGTTAATTTTAATAAATAAAACTTTATTGATAAACTTACCATACAATTCGGCGCTCGCGCGTGTGTTACATGTTATTTAGGCCGGGTGTAAACCGGTACTACTACTATATTACAATCGTAAAGATTATCATTACTCAATATACAACAATAGGAGAAAACAATTTTTGTGTTAAAGGTTATACCGAATATTCGAATGGAAAAATATAACGGGTCATTTGAGTCATATATTACATTTAAATATAGATTTAGGTTTTTGGCCTCTGCGACAGAATATTATGATGTACTTGGGTTTCATATATAAAAACATATATAAAATATGTTTTATGTTATTTTTCGCAATTACCAAAAATATTTTAAAAATTAATTATTTTTTAAAATTTTTTTTAAAATTTTAAGATAGCCATTTTATAGATAAGTTTTAAAGAAAAATTTTGATACCAAAAACTCTTATTTTAATTCTGTAGTTGCGTTTATACAGCATTTTGAAGTTTGCTAAATTTTGATTTTTTTACAATTTTCCTATGGTATCAAATGTTAGTCCATATTATGTAAAGTACAGAAGTAAACACTTATTACATTATTTACTGGTAACAGTACACGATATCTTTTCAATGAAAATTATTATCATTTGAATAAGCATTTGTAACTGACATGAAAATGTAATAAACCAAAAATAAAAAGAAAGAAAAGAAAAAGAGTTTGATAGATAGAGATATAAAAAAGTATAAAAATGAGAAAGCGTAGGTTAAATATAAAAAGAAATTAGGAGTTTGCTTAGTAGATTATTATAATCAATTATTTGTTATAATTTTTGTAATTTTAATTAGATTTAGNATAATCATTATTTATTATAAGTTTTTGTAATTTTAATGTAGATTTAATTGTCTTCAATTTTATTTAAATTAATTTTCTCATTAATTGTTTCTCTCATTAATTATTAATGGTTTATCACGCAATAGATTGTTGGAAGTTCGAAAGCATAGGTTAAATTGTACTTATCTTACGTCCTGTGTAATACAATAATATTTTAAGTAATCCAGTGTTGATTTCCGTATTAAACACACTACGTATACGATTTACACTATATGTCATATAGTCTATATAATTGATTACAAAAAAAACGACTCAAGACTTTTAATAATATGATTTAATTACACAAAGTCTAAGACTGATCTTACTTGTAAAAGATTTTAAACACTCTGTATTTTATTATAAATACAATTTTAATTTTTTTTATTTATTGATTTTTTTTTACGTCTGTTGAATAAGTATTTTTTAGAGAGTATATTTTATTGAGAGATCGATACCAATATTTCTTAAATTTTCCTCTGGCCTGGCCAAAACAAGATTCAGAAATATCTATATCTATGTAAAAAATTTATCAAGGCAGAATTGTGGTGGCCCAATGTGTCCCGGTGCTAAAATAAAGCACCTTGAAAGGATGCGGCACAATAATAACCAAGACAAAAATTAAACACTGCAAATATATTCGTAAGTTTCTCTACGTTGTCTGCCGGCGCGATGTTTGTTAAAACAAAGACATTAGCAACGAGACTAGCTACCCAATAAGAAAAGCTCACAATAAATTTTTATTATTAAATGAATATCTAAATTTAGGTTGGATTTATTGTTAAAATAAAATAATTTAAAAAAAATATAATGTTTAAAATATTATTTGATGTTTATTTTCATAACAAGAAAAATAAAATATTATTAATGATTGAACAAATTAAATTAAATTAAAAGATTCACCAAAACAAAATTCACTTTAAAATTTCTAAGTGTCATTTAGTTTTAAAGAAAAATATTCTAAGTCCAAATTAATTAAAAAATCGACTAAGTCCCGGAGAGTGAAATCTTGAGTAGAGTGTCGTAGATTTTGTGTATTTTAAAATCGTCAAAAGAACTGGTTTAGATGGGGAAAAATGGCTTTTTATAGTGTGAAGGGGGTAGCCCAGCGATCTCTACCGTGATCCTAGAAGCTGAGGCTTTGTATTCTAATTGGTTAATTAAAAGAGGGTCCCAGCGTGTAGGCGTTACTTAATAATTTCTACAAGAGGGAGATTTTATCGTATAGTTAAAGGGTTATTTTGTATTTTAAATAAGAGAACCCTGTTTTGGTGATCTTGTATAATCATGATATGTGACATACATGTACAAATGATAACATCATATTATATGTTAATATTATATGTAATAATATAATATTACAAAAAAACAATTAGTTGTATAATTCAGAACTTTTAAGGATTAAAAAAATAAGTTTAATGTGTTATTTTCTTTTTTTTTTAACATACTAAAAATCAAAATCAGTATTAATTTTTTTTTGTTCTTAATTATTTTTTTATATGTAAATACTTATGTTTTAATAATAATTAATAATATTAAAACTTAGGAGTGATAGAAAAAGTCTAATTGCACATTTGAAAATATCGCAAAAAGTTGATTTAGAAAAATTTATTTTTGTTTCTGATGAAAGTTCATTGTAGTCCATTATATAAAACTTATAACTTTGTGATAAGTAACAAAAATTTTTTATTAAAATTATTGTATCAAGCCCTTTAAATTTTTATACGCGTTTAAAGTAAAGAAATATACAACTACTTTTTTATTTTTATAATTTCTCCGTAACATTACAATATTAAATTATTCAATATCAATATAATACTAAATTTAATTACTATAATTAGTATTCATTCATACATTATATTTTTAAATCATAGGATCGCTAATCAGGATATAATTAAGGAAATAGGAGTTTATGTTACTTTTGTCCACCAATTTCTTTGAATTAAACACTACCTACAGAATTGCATCGAAGCGTTTCTTTTGATAGTGATTTTAATTACTGTAAGATATCATCTATACTTGACTCGTCCACACTATGCCTCGACCCCACTGTGCTAGCGTTTTTTTTTTAAATTTACATAACTATAATTTTTTTTATAAATACATTTTATATATACCTTATATCCGACATACTGTTTATTTAAATCGGACTATTTCCCTTCATACAAAGGGGTGAAAACCTTTAAAAATGCATATAGAAAGTATTACTTTTTCAACTTAACTTTTGAAAGTGTTACTGTTTTTTAAATTTATTTTTAGCTATCCTTGTTATGTGATTTTGCTTTGTTAAAAGTGAAATAGAATATATTAGTCGATTTAATTAGTTGGTGTTGTTACTGGCTCTATGTTAAAATATGGTAAAATATTAAAATAAATAATATTATTACAAATTTTAGCATTTATAAATAGCTAAGAAGATATTATATTATTATGTTTGATTTTTTCATGTACATAAAAACATACTTTTAGATTAAAAAAGGAAAACATGATGACAACTTATCTACTTTATGTAATTGGCTTAAATAAATGTGACAAATCTCATGTTTCTTTTAAAATATTCTCTCATGATACAATTGAAAAATAGTTTTCGAAATTCTAATATAGCACATTACACTACAGAATGTTTTTTTTTTAATTGATACTATTTTATTATTATAATTGACTAGCAGCAATTAAGTAAATAAAATAAAATTATATGTAAAAAATTACTACAATTATATTTTTTATATTCGATTTTATTGACTTTTTAAAAATGTATTCAAAAAAAGAAGATAAATTAAAGATAACTTAGTGTTTTAATTCATATATATTTTTTAAATTTTTAAAATAAATTTTATATTACTTATTTAAAGTATTAATTGTTACACCGCTGTCTATAGTTATGATTCAAGTTGTTATTTTATTATTATTTTCCACTTGCCAAATCACTTTACAGAATTCTTCTAAACTAAAATTATCGCAAGCAGTAATGTCGAACCCGGGTTGGAAGTCATTACAAAAAATAAAAATAATTAAAAACGGAAAATCTTTATCATATGATGACATCGAGAATTTAAATGATATAAACTTAATGGATAAAAACGTAAGTTCAATGATTATGTGTAAGTACGCTCATAATTTGCTTGATATAGCTACTTATATTGAATATATGGCAACTCAGTTTAAAGCATTGGAGGTAAGAGGTGAGAAACTTGTTTACATAAAATATTTGTATGCCTATATAATAGATATTGAAAAACAAACAGATTACATGTTCCTTGCAATTGATTTCATGAATAATATGAAAGTAATAGATAATTCATTTCTTAATGGGCCTTTACAAAAGTTGTGGAAAAATACAAACAAAGAGATAATAAAATATTATATTGGTGCATTAATATATACTATTAAAAGTGATAAACCTGTGGATTTTGTTGTTAATGATTTAATTAGACCTTTTAAGGATCTTAAAGAAGAAATAGATAATGATATAATGGGAGAGAAAAATTTTTGTGTTAAAGGAAAACCGTCCATACCGAGTTGGAATGATTTAAATAACTCGTATTTGAAGGAGACTCAAATGGATAAATATTGCGGTTCATTTTTGGATTATATTAATTTGAGATATAGATTTTGGATTTCGGACTCTGAATTTGAAAGTTTTAATCAACTAGGGTTTGTTAGGTTCGGTCCTTCTATCGTATTGCGCACAAAATAATAAGAACCGGAGTGAATTTTGTTTATTATTTAGATTTCTTAATAGATAAATTACTAATCTTTTAATATAAATATTTTCTTTTCTTTTTGCTTTAAAAAGATTACAGTATTAATTAATATATGATATTTGAAATACTACTGTATGTATCAATATTATTTGTGACTGTTTATTTAGATATTTGTTTTTAGCTATCTATATTTATAATTAACTTGTTAAAAAGCTACAATTATTTTTTCAATATCTCAATTAAACTAAAATATTATACTAAATCGTTTACTCTTTACTTAATTAATGTGTTCCATTTAACAAAAAAATAATACATATATATATATATATATATTACATATACCTAATATATTTTACTTATAAAAAAAATCGTATTATATTTTATAATATTAATAATAGTAACACTTAACTTAGCGAATTACAACAATAATATTTTTTGAGTTAAGTGTATTACACATATTATTAAATAAAGTATAAAATAAAATAATTATTAACAATAGTACATTTATGTTACACTTTATGCAACAACGGTTCAAACCCTATTTGTCTACTTACTATTAACAACTAAATAATCCAACAACAATTATACTATAATAATACGGGTTCGTCATACCCCCTGTGCTGGGTTTTTTATTTCAATTAGATTTAGCTTTGATGCGAAGCTAAGAAGGTATTGATTTTACTATGATGTGTTTTTTTTTTTGTGTTTGTTACCACTTTTTCTCAGCTGTCACCGAACCGCTTTCTTTAAACGATACGTCAAAAAATCACAAATCGTATCTAGTCGAAGACATTAACCTCAAAAATTGAAAAAATTTCCCTCGTTCCCCGTATATGAGGGAAAACTCCAAAAAAATTACAAATTGAAATATCGATAATTTTCGACATTTTTTCATTTTTTTTTTTTTTACTTAAAACTGCCATAACTTTTCTAAAAAAGACCAAATCAATATAATTTTTTTTAAATAGATGCGTAATGTACTATATGATATTGTATATTTTTTTTTATAAATTTGATCCTTTCTCTGCCCATAGGAGGGGATTTAAAATGTTAACTTTTTTTACCAAAAATATACTTTTGAAAGTGTCTTGGAAATACTGACACTTTTATATACATTTTAAATTAAAACTTGTTTAATTTACTTTATCATGGAAAAAAAATGTCGGACTTTATTTTATCTTTGCCTTGAAAATAGTACCGTATGCTATTTTGTGAATATAGATTAAAAGTTGTCTTTTGTCAATTCAATGTACTAGTTGTTGATCCATGAATATTTTATAGTTATAGAAAAAAAAACCAATTCATTTTAAACATTCTAATAAAGTTAAACTATTCACTGTAACAACTATTTTTAGTGGACATAACTTATATAACTCCTTTGAAATTCTCAAACTAATTTTTTTGAACAAGGTAAATTCAATGACATTTTTTTAGTAATCATAAATTTAGTTTATATGACTAAAAGTTAATTAATATTATTTGATAATAATTAAAAAGTAATATTATTTTTATAAAAATATAGAATGGAATTGACAGGAGTCTTATACAATAACTTGAAGTGTTTGAAATTTCATTTTCTATTTCGTTATTTTAGCCTTACAAAATATTGTATGATGTGTCATTCTTTTTATAAACTATATTGTGTTGTTGAAAAATGTGACCGTAGAAAAGCAAATAATAAGTTAAACTATTAGAACAAAGAATAAATATTATCGGTAAGAATTAAAATACATTAACAGTTAAATTTGTATGTATTGAAGAATAAAATAAAATGTTGAAAATGTATTTTTTATATTCTTTTTATCGTGTAATACGAGTAGATTGATTAACTATGTATTGCGCAATCTCTTTAAAAATGTATTTTTTTCTTTTCAAAACTTTAAATAGGTAATTCTTCATAGGATAATTTTAAAATGCTATTTTAGTTTTACACTCCTTTAATTTCTTAACCGATATCAACTTGAATTTAAAAAATGAACGACTTGGAACTTTTTCAACACACATCTAAAATTATTAACGAAAACATTTAGGTATATCTAATTCAATAGAAACTGTGAACACAATAAAATGATACATGTAAAATAAAACGTTATTACGACATTGATTAAATATTCAATATAATTATTATATTTGTAAGACTTCATGCATTTTTATAACTAAAGATTTTTCATGTGAGAAAATTTTATAATAAATAAATTTCTACCACTCCTCTAAATTATATTTTGAATACAACCAATTCTATACCTAAAGTAACTTATGAATTATTACATAAAAATTACATAAGTTATAATCTTTTACTTAGTAACATTTAATTATATGTCAAGTTTTTAAAACTTAACATAACATTCATTTTATATCAAATTGATTGAAGGTTAACTTCAATAAAGCACTCGAGATACTTTTTTGAGAGTGTTACGATTCTTACCGTCACTTCTAAGTATAGTCTTTGTATTTACACTAAAAAAAAACATCTTAGTAAAATAAAAAAAATGTATTTTTAATACACAGTCAGCAATATTGTTTTGTTGATTAAACAAAAAATTTTGTTAACAGAATAAAAAATTTATCAAACAAACAAGTATTTTTTGTTGAGTTAAAATATGATCGTATTTTAATATTTTTTTTAATTAGAACCTTTCAAACAGTGGATAAAAATTTAATTGAGCAAAAATACCAATTTGCTATAAAAGAAATAACATTTTTGTCAATAAATAATGGTATACATTATGACATCATTAGTTGTATAAATAGTAAATTTAATTTTTAGATACCTTTTGATTGGGTTTTTTGTGATTGCTTTAGTAGGTATAAAAATATTTATTTTAAATATGTGATCTAAAAGTTTTTGATGATCGAAAAATCGTTTATTATTAATTAAATTATTTTATATTTTTTAATTGAAATAGTGATATTTTCTTCAATATTACAGACAATTCAAATAATTGATATAATTCATCAAAAAATTTGTGTAGTAGTAATTTTACTTATAAAATAGATTTTATATTCACATTAAAAATAAATAAATATATTGATGTTTCAAAATATTTCCGGTTATTTATTTTTTTTTTTTTCAAAAATCCGTAGTGAAAAAATATTCATCCTAAGATTAAATAAAATTATTAGTAAAGAACTATGTAATACACTAAAAAAATTTGAAATAACATACTCTCTAATTATATTTGTAGATACCAAATTCTGTAGTATTTGGTTGTAAATTTACAATTTTCTTACTTGAAAGGTACACGTAAAAAAACAATGGGAGTCAATTTGTAAATTAAGAAAATAGTGTTTTAAATTTAGAAAGACCAAAAAAAACCTTCTGTTATTAATTGTTAACCAAAAAAGCAATACCTATGTTTTGATCTCACTCTCGTGACGCAAAATTATTGCTTCAAATCTTCAAATTGTACAAAATGTGGATAAAAACATAGGTCTGTGAATTGAGCAATGCTTAAAAAGACCTAATAGAAGTGTGACAATTTTGGAGAAAAGCATACTGCGGATTGGAAAGTTTGTCCTGAGTATCAAATAACTGTTGAAAATTGTCATCTTGAAAAAATTATAGTAGTTTGAACTGCTACAAAGTATACCAGCAAAATTTGTTACAGCTAACGTAGCTACGATAAAATAGCTAATTTATTAATGCAAAACTTAAAGATACCCCACATTTTCTAACAAAATAATCGCGTGAAAAATGTCCAAGTACCCTTTGCATAATTATAAATTCCTTAGCTAGTATAACTCAGACATTAGCAGTGCTTATTATAAGATTAGAAAGGTCATTTTTCTATATTTATTCTAAAAATTCCTCATCTACCTTATAACTTAACTAAAATTCAAGATACCATGAAATTCTGTTCCATAGCTAATTGAAGACATGAAGCAGACATTAGTTTCTTTTCTAAAATTATATCCGGTGAGAGATATCTCCCTATTTTAATTTCAAAAAACTAGACTAATAATAAGATCTTCTTATAGACAAGATGTTGGAAAATTAAAATCAATAGTAACAAATTAGTACATGTCAATTATACACTACGTAAAACCAATAATATTCCTATTAAGATGAATCATCAAATTATTTCACAAAAATATTCAGCTAAATATCTTAGAGTGTACCTAGACTCGCGTTACTCAACGATTCAATATTGTTGCTCTCCGAGCCATCGTATCAACTTATTGGTACGATAGAAACGATATTATGCACCGTGATTTCATTGTATGTACCGTAGCAGAAGAACTAAAGAGATTTTTCCGCTAACATGAGGTGAGATTAACAACCACTTTGGACAACTGCAAAGATATTAGACGTCTTGAACGTCATAAACCATAAGACTTAGTTTAAAATATTTAGTTTTAAACTAGGCTAAGGAGCCACCCACTAGATGTGTAACTTCAAATAAATGTATTTTTTATTAATTGTTATAAAACTATGTTTTATATACAATTATTGTTATAAAGATAATTTTTTCGTTCAAATAATAGTCTTTTGACAGTTTGTAAAAAAAGAATATTAAAAAATAAACTAAAGTTTTCAAAATCTAAAATCTTAATTATGATAATAGTAATTCACATTGTTTTTTCTGTGTACTCTTCACATTTAGAACATCTATACAGGATGATTGTTTTATCATAAATTACTCGATTACTCACAAAAGAAATATAATTTTGGAAAAAAATGTTTCTACACATGTCTATTCATGTCTATTTAATATAGTTTTCCAGCTTTTTGCACTTTATTTTAAAATAAAGTATTTTAGATATCATTTATCTATTTTGTTTTTATCATAGATAATTATTTAATTTCTTAGATATACAGGGTGGCTCACCACTCACTGACAACTTAAATAACTTTTGATCCAGTTAATATTTTTAGCTGATTTTTTTTTTAAATAATAGTTATGCGTTAGGTCTATAGCTATATCTCAATAATTAATTTTTTTACATTTTATTAAAAATATTAATTATTTTTAAATTTTAAATAAAATGTAAAAAAAAAATCTAAGATAGCTATTTTGTAGAGTAGAATTTAAGAAAAATTTTAGTAAAAAAATATCTTATTAATATTCAGTAGTAAATATTCTGTAGCGTTTTGAAGTTTGTGAAAATTTGAATTTTCATGTACTATTTTACGGTATTAAACATTGAAATACGTATTGAGAAAAGGACAGAAGAAAACGCTATCTTTTCATGATTACTGTGTATACATATACACAGTACAGTTGGAAATGAGAATAANCCATTACTTTTGTTTTCTTCACATTTATTCTCATTTCCAACTCTTTTTCGAATGTTTTATCCATAGCTTTAATTAGTTGAGCCAGATCTTTCTCGCATTCAGCAATTAAAGCTATGTCATCGGCAAAGCGTAACATACTTATTTTTTGTCCGTTAATCTTTATCCCTAGATTGGCATTTTCCTTTATCATATCTATTGCTTCTTGAATATATGCGTTGAATATAATTGGGGATAATGTACAACCTTGTCTAACTCCTCTGTTTATTTTTACTTCTTCTTCCTCATCTTGGATCCTTATAACTGCGGATTCATCCTTGTATAGGTTATACAGAAGGTTCCTATCTGTGTATTTTAACCCCAATCTTTTCATCATGTTAAATCTAATTTCTTATCAAGGTATTAATGCCATGTTTGTAATGTATACACATTATTATCATATGTATACACAGTAATCATGAAAAGATAGCGTTTTCTTCTGTCCTTTTCTCAATACGTATTTCAATGTTTAATACCGTAAAATAATACATGAAAATTCAAATTTTCACAAACTTCAAAACGCTACAGAATATTTACTACTGAATATTAATAAGATATTTTTTTACTAAAATTTTTCTTAAATTCTACTCTACAAAATAGCTATCTTAGATTTTTTTTTTACATTTTATTTAAAATTTAAAAATAATTAATATTTTTAATAAAATGTAAAAAAATTAATTATTGAGATATAGCTATAGACCTAACGTATAACTATTATTTAAAAAAAAAATCAGCTAAAAATATTAACTGGATCAAAAGTTATTTAAGTTGTCAGTGAGTGGTGGGCCACCCTGTATATGTACAGAAAGTACCCAAATGTTTTCAGTGTCGTCTGGGAGGTTTATCGTTTTAGCTTGTCGTTCGCCATGTATCGATTTTTGAGTAGTACTGTAAAGATCAGTTATAGACGGAATATCGTTTAGAGGTGCGATCAATGCTGCTTTAATTTTATGGAGTTTGACAGCTTTTTCGTTAATATTCTGGTTGCCATCCCCTTCCTGGTCATTTATAAATATTTGATTCTAAAACATTAAACTTTTTAATGCCAAAGTTAATATATTATCGTTTTTATTTTCTATCCGACCTTTTGCATTTCAATGTCCATGTCAATTTCGGTGTAGTCTGAAAATATTAATATTTAAGTAACAAATAAAATATATTAATGAATCAATGTATAATTAGAATACACTGGAAAATAAATTCCGAGTTAAATTTTTTTGTTATTAATTACCTCTTGTAATTATATTATTTTCCGGTTTCATCGTATCATTACATAATTTTTTATAAATTAATGCCATATCTGGACGGTTACTGGCTAAGTCAACCACACAAGCTTTTCCTAATACAACTAGCAACTCAAAAGATTTATGTGTATCTGAACCGGCTTTTTTATCAATTATAGTGTGGATTTTGCCAGCTTGAAATTTGGACAGTACAAAATCTTTCTAAAATATAATATAATATTTAACAATAATAAATGTATTCTGAACGTTTCAAGTCTGATCCCACGTTTTGTTAGACTTTTTAAATAATACTTACTAAATATCTGTAACTTGAACAGCGACCAAATGATCTAAGACCTGTTGCTATTTCGAATAATACCTGAAACATGCATGGAACTGTATTAATTATGATTGAATACAAATTGCTTACGTAGTTAGTTATTTTATAGTAATTTCAAAGGATAATGCATGATATAAAATATGAATGATGCAAATAAAAATGATTTTCAACAAATTTTATTCAGAATTATTTAAGTATGAGGCTCTGTTACATAATTTGTATACCACTCCAAAACTATAAGTATCCACTTTAGTCGATAACTTTTTAGTTTTACGGAAATCTTCTGGTAAATAAGGCATTGTTCCATATACGTGACTGACTTCAATTCCTGAAAGTTGTCCTTCTTCTTCTTTCAACTGTGCGCCTACCCGAGCTAGACCAAAATCACCAATGCGTGGTTCAAAATTAGAGTCTAAAAGTATATTAGCACTGAAAAATAATCAAATTATATACATTTTAAATATATTATTTTTAATTTTAAAATAATAATTTTTAAATAGACAGCCAATGCTAGTTTGTTTCTCATAAGAACGTTAAATCATTAGAGTAATAGTTTATATTTAAGGTAATATTATAATTTGAATAAAATTCTATTAATTTAAAGAGACTATTTCTCAAATGAACCTTATATAAATGAGCAGATATGAATCTATTTCTTACATAGTTTCAAATTTATACTAACATTCAATTTAAAAAATAAATAAAAACAGTAGTAGAGTGGAGTTGCGGCACAGTGTGGACATGGCATAGTTGGAACAAGTATAGATGATATCTGATAGTGATTAAAATCACTATCATAAGAAACATTAATTTCAAAAAGTTGTAGGATTATACCAAAAGCAAAATTAAATCCTATTTCCTATAGTATTTCTAATTAGTAAGTTTTTCATTTAAAAGTATAATATATGAATAAATACTAATTATAGCAATTAAATTAGTATGAGACTGATATTTAATAATCTAGTATTGTAATTTTTTCGGAGAATTTATAAAAAAATTATAAAGTAGTGGTTACTTTTATGGCAAATGTGTATAAATATTGAAGAGCTTGACACAAAACTTTTTAGATAATAATTTGTTGTTATTTATGAATAAATGGTCTGTAAAAAATTTTCATCAGAGTTAATAATATACTTTTATTATTCAATTTTTTTGAAAACTTCAAATCAGCAATTATATTTTTTCTATCACCAATAATTTTTGATATTATTACTAATTAGTTAAAAACTATAGGATATAACTATAAGGAAAATAGTTCTGAATATTTCAATTGTATCAACTATTGTTTTTAAATTATTACAGATTTAATTTTTAATATATCAAAAATTGTATGTGTAAAATATCATTTTTAACCTATATTTTTGGTCTTTTAAAGTTGATTTTTTTGAAGTTTATAATAAAAAAAAACACAGAACAGGTGGGTCGCGGCACAGTGATGACGTGGCATAGTATGATCAAGTTTAATGATATCTGACAGTGATTAAAATCACTATCATAAAATACGCTTCGATGCAAATCTTTAGATAATGTTTAATTTTAAAAAATTGGTGGATTATTCCAAAAGCAACATGATCTGCTAGTTCGTTATTAATATCCTGATTCAGATAAAGTATATTGAATGAAAAAGGGATTATTAAAAATTATTATTTCTCAAAAAAAAATTATGTTGATCTATACACTTTTCAATAAGTTATAGCATTATAAAGTTAAAAATAAAAAAATAAAATCGAGAATTTTCACACAAAAATAGCATTTGCTAGCCAATTTCACCCTGAAGACAAAATAAAGTACGAAATTTTTTTTTCCATAATAAAGTGCATTACATTAGCTTTAATTTATGATATATATAAAAGTGTCAGACTTTCCGGAACACTTTCAAAATTTAAGTTGAAAAAGTAAATTTTTTCTGAAAAAGTTGTTATTTTGAATCCCCCCCTTTGGGCAGGTAAAAAGTCAGATTTATAAAAAAATTATACCAAATGATAGTTAAAGACATCATGCATCCATAAAAAAAAGAATTATATTGATCCATACATCTTTCAAAAAGTTATAGCATTATAAAGTTAAAAATATAAAAAAGAATTTTTTTACAAAAATCGCTAAACACATACTGACACATATTTAGCGTTGATAATGGTAACATTGTTTCCGAAATACGTATCCGCGACTTTTTCATTAATTTTTTTGTGGCTTTGAGTTTAATATTTTTTAGTTTTTTAAATTAATAAAATTTTTAATATAGTTTTAATTTTACTTAATTAATTAGCCACAAGTGATCAATTTTTATTATATTTCATAAATCTTTATCAAAAATTTTTCATCAACTTTAAAGAACCAAAATAATAGGTTAAAAATGAAAATTTGGACTGATTATTTTAACATATTAAAAATCAAATCAGTAATAATATGAAAACAATTTTTTTTTCTTTTAATTATTATTTTACATGTAATTAGTAATAATATAAAAAATTAAAACTGATAGATAAAGTCTAATTGCAGAATTGAAAACAACGCGAAAAGTTGATTTAAAAAAGTATATTTTTGCTTCTGATGAAAGTTCCTTGAAGTCCAGTGCATTCATTTATAGTAACAAACAGTTTTTATTGATAATTATTGTATCAAGCCCTTTAAATTTTTATACGCGTAAAAGTAAAGCAAAATATAACTTCTTTAGTATTTTTATAATTTTTCCGTTTAAATTACAATATTAAATTATTAAATATCAATTTCATACTAAATTTAAAAACTATAATTAATATTTATTCATATATTATATTTTAAAAACGAAGAACTACTAATCAGGATATAATTAAAGAAATAAGAGTTGATGTTGCTTTTGGAATAATCCACCAATTGCCTAATTAAAACAAAAAAAAAAAAAGTTTGTTGGGAATTTTTTCTGCTATTCTGCAAAATTACTCCTTCGTTGACTAGAATGAATCATTAAATAGAAAATTTTATGAGAATTAAAACAATGTTATTTTTAAGATTAATATGCAGTCAGAAAGTTTTATAATTATTATTTATTGTAAATTTATCAGAAAAACTCATTATTTTTTGCATTTTTATCGTAATAGAACACTTAAATAGAAATCATAGTAATCATTTCTAAGTAATTTTTGATATTTAAAAAGATTCTACTATTGAAATATCCAGAACTGAATTAATTTTAATGATTTACTTTAACTAAAAAAAAAAAGTTATTATTTTGAATCCCTCTTGTGGGCAAGTAAAGGGTTAGATTTATAAAAGAAAACCAAATGATAGATAAAGACATGCATCTAAATAAAAAAAAAATATACTGATTTGGTCGTTTTTGATAAAGTTATAACAGTCAACAAAGTTATGAGTTTTATACACTGGACTACAAGGAACTTCCATCAGAAACAAAAATATACTATTCTAAATCAACTTTTCGCGATGTTTTAAAATGTGCAATTAGACTTTTTCTATAACTTCTAAGTTTTAATATTATTAAAAAATAGTTTTTACATATAAAAAAAAATAATTAAGAACAAAAAAAATTGTTTTAAATTAATACTGATTTGATATAATATTTAATATTAATTTAATATTAATTTGATTATTAATAAGTTAAAAATAAGGAAAATGACATATTTAACCAATTTTGTTAATCGTTTAAAGTTGATTGTTGTAAATGTTTATAATAAAAAAAAAAATTTATTTTACCATAACTTTTAGCTCAATTGGTAAGTTTGACATTGACATAATTAAATAGAAAATTTTATGACAATTAAAAAAATTGTATCGTTAAGATCAATATGCAGTCAGAAAGTTAACTACAAGGAACTTTCATCAGATTTATTTTATTTATTNATTACATTTAATATGAGTAATAAAATTTATATTCCATTTTTTTCATTTTACGGTTACTTTTTATCATGTTATACTTACATTAGACACAATGTTATAAATGCATATGTGTGTATGTGTGAGTTTATTTATTTATAGTATCATTTGAGTGTAGTGTATATTAAGATACAACTGATAGAANCATTAAAGTGTAGTGTATATTGAGATACAACCGATAGAGTAGGTAATTGATTTGACGCTATATTATTTAAACCCAACTAAACGCTAAATTGTACATTCCGAAATAACAATCATATTATGTCAATTGCCACCGGAATTTCTGGTAATATTTTTCTTTTTCTTTGCCTTAATCCCAACTACTTGGGGTCGGGCACCCTTATCCTAAGATTCCACTTGACACGATCTCCCACATCTTCTACGCTCACATCAGCTGTCCTCAAATCGNATCAGCTGTCTTCAAATCGCATTCAATAGCATCCCTCCATCTCTTTTTTGGTCTTCCTCTATCTCTTCTTCCTTCAACATTCTCTTCTATAACTGTTCTTACAGCTTTCGATTCTTCTTTCCTCATACCATGACTAAACAATCTAAGTCTATTTTCTGTCATCTTATCCACGATTGACGCAACACCTATACTTCCTCTTATATGCTCGTTCCTTATCCTATCTTCTCTAGTCACTCCACTCATCCAACTAAGCATTCTCAACTCTGCTACACTTATTCTCTGCTCTACTTTCTTATCAACCGCCCAACATTATGAATCATACATCATAGCTGGCCTCACAATTTCATACTAAATTTAAAAACTATAATTAGTATTTATTCATATATTATATTTTAAAATCAAAGAACTACTAATCAGGATATAATTAAAGAAATAAGAGTTCATGTTGCTTTTAAAATATTTCACCAATTTCTCTAAAGGAAACACTATCTACAGATTTGCATCGAAGCGTTTCTTATGATTGTGATTTTAATCACTGTCAGATATCATCTATACTTGTCCCATCTATGCCTCGTCCACACTGCGCCTCGCCCCACTGTGCTACCGTTTTTTTAATAGTTAATATACTTAAGGGCTATAATAATAATTTAATTGATATAATTTCTATAATTATATTTAATTTAAAAATTTACGAAAAATGTTTAAAAAAATTTCAAAATAGCCATTTTTTAGGATAGATTTAAAAAAATAATTTGGTGAAAAAAATTCTCATTAATGTTTCATAGTTTTCTGTGTTAAATAAATTTTCTGTAACATTTTAAACTTCGTAAAAATTTGAATTTTTCTGTATTTATTCTATAGTATCAAACACTTGCTATGTTATATAAAAAAGGACAGAAATAAACACCATCTTTTCACACTTTAAATATTAGTATAGATTTTTCTATGAAAATGATGACCGCCTTTATTTCAAATAAAAACACGAACAATACCTATTATTTAATGAGTAGTTTTATCTCTTTAGAGATCAAACTGCTTATCTTACTTTTCTTTTGTCCTTGTCTCAACATGTATTTCAATTTTTAAACACATAAAAATTTAAATTTTCAAAAACTTTATAATGATGCTGACTATTTACTACTGAATATTAATAAGATAATTTTAACCAAAATTTTACTTAAAATCTACTCTATAATCTTAGATTTTTTTTTACAATTTATTTAAAATTAAAAAATAATTATTATTGAATTTTAATAAAATGTAACAATTTCAATTATTGAGATATGATTATAGACCTAAAGTATAACTGTTATTTTAAAAAAATCAGTAAAAAATATTAACTAGATTAAAAGTTATTTAAGTTATCAGTGAATGCTGGCCACGCTGTATATATAACAGACATTACTATGTAACTTATATAATTTGGAATAGTACTGTTGAAAGCGAAATAGAAGTAGCATTTACATAAATAATTAACTAAGATTAATTTTTTAATCTTAATTAAAATCTTAATCTAAATTAATTTAAATTAATTTTTTTATATTATCATTCAATGTATATTAAAAATTTAAAAAATAAATCTATAAAACCATTTTTATATATTTAGAATAATAAAAAGCCTTTTTTGTTCCCAATAAAAATTTGTTTTTACATAAATTTATATATATTTAATTATAATTTATACGTTTATTTTTTATGAGTGTTTTAAGCGAATTTAACTTTTGTGATTCATTGAATGATTTAATAAATTAAAAAATACTTAGATGTATGTGTTTATGTATACATAAATATCAAAATATGTATATTTTAAAATATATATTAAAAATTGACACAAAAATATTTGTCTGGCTTTTAAAAAAAATATGCCTGAGGCCTATTTGTTGATTTAATAATTAAATCTTATATTAATAGAAAATTCTGTACATTCAAAAATAAAAATAAATCCCGAATAAGTTATTAAACTTCCAAGAAGAGAATTTAGACCTAAATATACCTACATTTCTAAATCAGTAAGTTTTCGTGTCTTTTTTATGCAAATTTGCTATTAATTTTTTACAATAAATTATTTAACGTACTACTTTTAGAATAAATAAGACCAAAAAAGTACTCAAAACTAAAAAAACTAAAAATAAATTTCCTATATAACTTTTATTTTGTTAGTAATGAGTTGGAATAAACGAATCACCTCTTTTATAAAGACTACATAGTAACATTATTTAGTTGTATTTTCTATTTCATAAAAAGTATTACAAAAAATAAGAAAATATAATTTTCACTTAGAATGTATTTCCTATTAAATAATTATAAATTTAAAACTATCACGGTGAGCTAGAATAAAATATAAGGAATTGATTTTTTATGACATCAATATTAGCAGGTACACAGCATTGTTATTATCAATGATAGTAAGGTACATTGTTGTGAGTTTATAAATACACTAACTGACAATACAAAAAGTATATCTATTGATAGTCATAATTGATAATAAACAATCCGTGACTGTGATATCAATATCATAAAAAACCAAATAGCTACCTGTATTTGTAATCCCTTGTGTATTATACCTATATATTAACTCAAAAATTTGAAACTTTAAATGTTTATATCATTAATAAACAAATTAAGTTTTATTAAAAATTAAAATCCCATTTATTATTGAATTAAAAACTCAAACATTTTATTAAATTAAAAATATGTGTTACCATTTAAAAAAACAAAGTTGACACCCTTACCAGGCATAAGGGATGAACTTAAAAAGTATTACATAGTTAATAATTCAAGAATAATGTGTAACTAAAGATAATAATAAAAAAAATTTTTTAATTATTATTATTCTGTAAGTAATTGAGTGGGTTATGATAAAAAAATCACTCTGTATATTCGCATCGAAGCTAAAAGTACAATTTTTGTGTAAAAACTGGATAGTTCAAAATTTTTTAATAAATTATTTTACAAAAACTTATTTGAAAGTATTTATAAGAAAATAGTGTATTTTTTATTCGAAAAATTAATTCAAAATGATTTTATTTTTATTTTTAATTTTAATTTTACACAATTATTTTTTTTTTTTTAATGTACAGCTAAGCCATTTTTTCATTTTAATATACTTTACAAGGGAAGTATACTGATTTTCATAAAAATTATATGAATCTAGGTGACATAGAATATAAAGTTAAATATAATTTAAATTGTTTACTTCTTTGAAGTCAAGAAAATCGGCTTCGAAATTTTAAATTTGCTTAAATTGTACTTTTTATGTACCGTTAAATGCACTGTACGGTTGCTGTGTCGATAACACTTATGTCTCTATGCTTGGAGTACAAGTTTAATTTTTTTTTTTAATTCAATTTTAGTAGATAAAAATTCTTAATATGTTTTATTTCTATCTCATTTAAATTGAATAACTTCAATTAATATCAAGGACAATATTATAGGTTAAAAAAAAAAAAATTAAAGCATTTTACTTTATTATTTATTAATTTTTTAACTCTATACTCATGTGCTACAACCATTCTATAATATTTCAAAACTGTTGGTAACATGTTACTGCATAAATCATTTACAATTAAATTGATATTTGATTTCACCTAAATTTAATAATGGGTTTTTACAATTATAACCAATTTTTATAATACGCTAAATTGAGTAGATTTTTTTTTTAATCGTTCTGATCGGTTTTTGTTTTGCTCTGAATATTTCAATTGTAGAGTCTTTTTAAATACTATGAGCTCCATAGTGACTATGATTTTGTTTAAAATTATTCATTATGATAAAAATTCAAAAAAGAAATAAACTCATCTTATAAATTTAGTGTAAATAGTAAAATATCTTGACTACATATTAATCTTAACAATATCATTTTATTAATTCTCTTAATATTTTCCAATTAATGATGTCAATTTCAAACATGAAAGTTGAGCTAAAAAATGTTAAGATAAAAAATTCAACTTTCATCTATTATAAACTTTCATAAAAATCAACTATGAAGACCCAAAGAAATAGTTTAAAAATTGCATTTCAAACGGATTATTATTAACAAATCAAAATCAATAATAATTTAAAAACAATTTTTTTTTAAATTATTTTTAAGTATAGTATAAATAGTTGCAGATTTGAAACACAACGCAAAAAATTTATTTAGAAAAGTATAATTTTGACTCTGATGAAAATTCCTTTTAGACCAATTTAACGTGTTATTTATTCATAATTATGAATTGTTAATTATAATTAACAAAAAATTATTTTCTGGAAAGTTTTGCATCATACACTTCAATTTTTATATACGTTTGTCAAAAAAATAATGAAATATACAATCACTTTATAATTTTTTATAATTTCTCTGTAAAAATTACAATATTAAATTATTGAAATAAATTTCATACAAAATTTAATTTAATATTATAAATATATATTTATATATTGTACTTATAAATCAAAGAACTTTTAATCAGTACTTAGTTAGGAAAATAGGAGTTAATGTTGCTTTTGGAATAATTCAACAATTCTTTCCACAAATTTGCAAAAAAAACTTTTCTTATGATTGTTATTTTAATTACTGTCAAATATCAGCTATACTTGTCCCAACTAAGCCATGTCTTTAAACTTCTTTTAATTAATTGCATATAATTTTAAACTTTTTAAATACATACGAATCCGGACTCTAATTATAACTGACGGTAAATATTATTATTAATAAATTAAGTATTTTCAAACATTATAAAAACAATTTATACGTTTATTTTATTAAATTTTAATTTTTTATAGAAATTTCCGTGGGTTGAAGAAACTTTCATTATAAAAAATTCTAACTTACAATACTATATAATCAGGTAACCCACATAAGGTATAAAAAGTAAAAAAGATACAAAAATAATTATCAAATTAATTTTATAAAAATTTACTAATGCAAATCACTAAATGATTTGATAATTAAATACTTATCAACTCAAAAATTCGTTTAACATGTTTTGTCTTGAACTAACAAAATATTTATAATAACTTTTAAGTTTATTTTAAAAGTGTAATATTTCTAATATATTAATATTTGAATGTTTATTTTGATAAATTATTTTTATGATATCTATAAAAAATTAAATAATGTGTACATTTTTTCATAGTTTTATTTGCAAAGTATTGCAAAGTGAACAAATGAATTATAAAAAGGATATTTTTCATACTTAACTCTTATGATAACTTTACCTTTTTATATCTCCGTGAATCAACGGAATATTCATGTTATGCATAAATTGTAATCCTCTAGCACTTCCTATAGCAATATTTTCTCGCATTGGCCAGTTTAACGGTTTACTGCCATCCTGAAGTATATTATTTTAAATTTTTTAATTTACGCTTGGTGTTTAAATAATTTAAATTACAAAAACTATAATACTTTAACCGTATGATATACTAGTAACTAACATTTAATTATTTACTTTTTGTTGCCAAAACCAAATCTAGTAATTATCGACTAAAAATAATGATCTATTTTGCATTTTTAATTATTAATACGATTTAATAAATATACTGAGATACGTAAAGCATAAAATTTATTGACCGTAGTAATGGTTTTTATTAATATATGGTATTTTGCCATTAAACCAATTGAGTTAAAAATAAAAATAAATTTAACATGGTAAACATTATATGGAGGCTGTAAGAACTTTGCCGATAAGTAAATTTGAAATACACTTATATCCTTTTATATTTGAAAACTTTAACGAAATAATTCATGTATCCATATCACACTTCCTACCTTACATTGTAGTCTGTCTTCCAAAGATCCATTAGCCATAAATTGATAAATAAGGCAAGATTCTGAATCATGAATTGTAAAACCGTACATCGATAGAATGTTGTCATGTTTAATAGCATTTAAGTACATGATTTCACGTGAAGAACTTTGAATTTTATTGCCAAGAGTATGCATATTTATTACCTTTTCAGCTACTCCCTAGATAAATAAGACAACTTAAATGTATCAATTTTTTATTACCAAAATATATAAATATAAAAAAAATAAAACTGCTAATGACAATTCCTATCAATGATTTTTAAATAAATCATTCGTTGAGAGTTAGTATAAATCTATTAAAAAGTTTATTTTGACTTCAGCTATAAGAATTGAATCAAAATTATATTTTTAAAATAATTACATTTTGTTTAACTACTAAGGCCGATCAAAAAATTACTATTATTCTCTTACAGACATTTATTTTAATAATAAACAAATAAATTACAGTATTATGGTAGTACAAGTTAACTAAAAACAATATAAATAAAAACTTGAATAACACTAAATACTTTGATCATCGCATACTTTGGTTTTCAATCTTTTAATAGCTACATCTGTATTAATCCAATTCCCTTTATAAACGACTCCAAAACCGCCTTCGCCCAAAATTCGATCTTTATTCCAATTGTCCGTGGCTGTAACAAGCTCATCGTAGTTTATCATCCGCATAAGTGTTTCCGAAGTCTCTGTATCGGTTGTTTGTTGAAACAGAATGTTATCAAAATTTCGAAATTTTGAACAGCGTAATAGCACTTTTTTATGTAGATCAAAACGTACGCACAGGAAACATATAAATATAATGAATACCAACGCAATGGTAATATAAAAATAAAGCCATTCTGTTTTTGGACAAATATTATTTTTTGTCATACTAACAATAGGAATAGACATTGTTTGGCATGTAACTATATCTATATCTGAAATCTGAAAATGTATAAGTTATTATTTTGATTTCATGAAAATGTACTACGTCTATTCATATTTAATAATTCATTTTTTCTGAGTTATTAATAATTTTAACGTTTTAATTAATTAAAACAAGAATATTTTGAAAATATTCATTACTCAAATGAATTTTATTATTAACTGTATGTTTAAACACAAGAATATGAAATGATGGAAGGAATTCGATTAGTTTATGTACAAAATAAATATACAAAGAAATAACAGTTACGTTAATTAATAATCAGTTGATTATTTACATATAAAATGTTATAAAGTGTTATACAGGATACAGGGAAAAAAAATGATGATTTTCGAAAAAAAAGTTATTAAAAGCTACAAACAATATTTAACTTTTATAATATTTTGTTTTTTTTTTTCAAAAAAATGAATGTATGTTTTCTGCACTCTTATATGATAGTAATAATTAAGGTCACTTTTATTAAGATAAAAAATACTTTCAATTTAATAGAAATCATTTTCAAGCACTTACGATAGAACGATGATTGATCATAAAATCGAACATATCTAAAAATTTACAACTGCAATCCCAACTATTATTTGATAATGTTAATTCATCCAAGCTGGACAAGTAAATTAGTGTACTTTTATCAAAATATTGAAGTTTATTATTGTGGAGTTTTAAAACCTTCAATATGATACAACATATAAGCAATTTTTAATTTTTCTTAAATTGATATAATGATTTAAACCTTTAAATTTTTAGGGAGATGTTTTCCATTAAGTTTATCTAAGACATTATTACTGATATCTAATGTAAGTATGTTAAAGCTCGATAATTTCGGTAGTTCCTGAAAAATATTATATTTTAAATACATCTCCAAAGATGAAGTACTTGCAAACATTGAATTTATTTCAACGGTGTTATTAAGATTTCCGTGTGAACAATCAACTACAGTTGTATTATATTGAGACAATAGTACACATTCACAGTTCGGTAGACAGTTATGTAGTTTTATCCAATCTTTTCCTTAATACAATATAAAAAAATTACTAATAAAATATTTTTAACAGAGAACTATAAAATTTACCTATAACAAATGCAGCAATCTTTTTATTACCACCACAATACTTGTTTGCATCACCTGGACATTGCATGTTACACTTACTGTCAACCAGTCTTGGGAATTCATTGATGTTTATTGATTTGTTACCACATAAACACGTTTTTCTTGAAAGGATCCCAAAATAATAAAAATTCTTTTGGTAACAATACTTGGAGCAAATTTCTGGAGTATTGCTAATATGAAATTCGTTAACAGTTTCTTGGTCAAAAATCTTTTGTAAATGATTTTCCTCGTAACATCCTATATAATGATTACCAGTTAAATCATGTGAGGTCGCCCCCGTAGCAAATACACTATAACGTGTGGAGCTATTATGGCATTGTTCTTTAACATGCCGTTCGACTTTAGCATCTATCGACGGTTTTACAAAACTACAAGTGCATATTTTTCTATATATTTACAAAAAAATGTGCTAGAGTTAACTAACAGAACTATGATGAATGTTAAAGATGATTTTGTACTTAGAATTGCTTACAATGACATCATAATAGCGACATAAGGGAACTCTTTGGCAAAACAGCTAGCCACACAACTTTGGCGAATTGTATCATAATTTTGTCCATTTGTAATAGTTATATTCCAGCCATCCATGATAGGATACATCCATGAATTTTCATAACACCCCAAATACTTTTCGGACATGTTTTCTTTGATAAAATCTAAAAAATTGTACACAAATAATTGTAAAAAAAACATATATAAGAGATATTTAAAACAAAATCTTATTCAACATCAAATTTGTTAATTTATATTAGCCTATTGTTAAAAACGTTTTTCGTTGGCCAAGTAAAATGTTTCTATTCTTAACAGTAACTTATTACAATAAAAAAAACTGTTTCAATCATCTTTAACAAGTTTTTAATTAAAATATTTTTATTGGGCATAGGACGATTTCCATTTATTGATTGAATAAATGAAATAAACGATGTTTTTTTGTTGACGTCATGACTAACATCATAGTTTAAATGTTGATAGTAATTGTGAGTTGTTCATAGTTTATTACTAAAATATATTTTTATCAATGTCAAATCATGAAAATGTTAAAATGTTCTTAAGGTGTAGGTATTTATGAATCAAACAGATGACAAATAATGTTTGTTTAATTATAATACAATGAATAGGAAGCATAGCCCAGTAAACAGCTTAAATAATAAATTAAACAATAAAAAATAATTGTAAAGTAAAAGTATATTTACTTAGCCAAGTATTTTCATAAATATTTAAGGACTCTTCACTTCCACAGTTTTCAGTTGTATCATAATTACATTTTACGCAATTGTTTTTTTGTTTTGCATGATCTGGATTTTCGTTGCTGCATTCACAACGGTTTCTGTTAATTGAAATATAATTATTCGCGGAACTCAACAATAACTTTTAAATTATTACAAATAAATATATAGTTACTCGCTCAATGCCGCGTATTTGAATTTTTTTTCTACGCAAATATGACTACATCTGCTTGAGCTATCGCATTCCTTCTGAAACGGCACAATAATTTTGCTAGTCATATTGTAAACGTCTTTATTAAAACATCCAATAGTGTGTTGCTTAGGATAATCTGTGTATTGAAAGTGCAATTAAAACTTGATGCATGCTCAAAGTAGTTAAAAAGTGTTAACACTAATTATTAAACACGAATATTACCAATTAGTCCAGTTGAGTATACACTTAATTTCCAATAATCACCGCATTTTTTTGATTTATCTCCACTACAAGCTTGGTTACAACTAGATTCTTTAATTTTATGTCGAACCCAAGGATACTGATCGCCACACCAACATGCAGTCCTGTGATTTATCAAAGTTCAATAATTACAAAAAATTATCAATAAAGCGTTAGAAAAACAAATATTTTTAATGTATTGCTTTCACAACTGTTCTTTATTGTGAGATTGAATTTACAAGAAAACCCCCAGTTGTATTTGCTATCCACTCTTTTATTAATTTATTTCCTTTAAAATTTAATTAGTAGAATTTTAATAAAATATTAAATGAGTATTAACAGTTATAAAAATATTTATTCATATATTTTGGTAATAATGTTTTTGTTATTGAGATAACTCAAATAGGTATAACAGATTAGTTAAATCGACAAGCCGCACTACACTACAGACTTAAATATATTTTTGATCATTTAGTTTTCAATTACGTTATGAATTAAAATAATTTAAATTAATGTTTCCTATAGAATTGCAATATACTTCAATTATTTCATTGTTAATAATTATTAGTGTCATTTACGTGCAGAACTCTATTTAAAAAGAAACTTCATACAATTTTATTTTATTTAATTATCGCGCCAAATTTATAAGTATATTTTAACAAAATAAAGAATTTAATTTGTTTTACTTTAATATAATGAAACAGAAATACCTATGAATTATGTGGTAATAAAAAAAAACCAAGTATTTTTATTGAAAATATTCCTAAAAAACCCAGCACAGGTGGATCGCGGCATAGTGGTGACGTGTCATAGTTGGGTCAAGTATAATAATAACTGACAAGGATTAAAATCACTATCAAAAAAAACGCTTCGATGCAAATCTTTAGATAGCGCTTAATTTTAAAAAATTGGTGGATTATTCTAAAAGCTATATGATCTCCTATTTCTTTATTTATATTCTGATTAAGATAAAGTATGATAAATGAAAGAGGGATATAAATATTATTTCTAATAAAAAAATTGTATTGATCCATACACTTTTCAATAAATTATAGCATTCAGTAGCTATTTTCATTGTAAAGATAAAATAAAGTCTGAAAATTTTTTTTTTCATAATAAAGTATATTACATTAACTTTAATTTAAGATATATATAAAAGTGTCCGACTTTCCGGAAAATTTTCAAAAGTTAAGTTGAACAAGTTAATTTTTTGTGAATAAGTTGTCATTTTGAATCCCCCCTGTGGTCAGATGTATCTATAAAAAAATATTATAATGATTTGGTCATTTTTAAAAATGTTATGGCAGTTTTAATTTAAAAAAATTGAATACATTTCGAAAAATATCGGTTTTTAAATTTGTTATTTTTTGGAGATTTTCCTATTTACAGCGAACGTTAACGTCCTATTTTCAATTTTTGAGGGTAATGTCTTCGACTAGATACGATTTGTGATCTTTTGACGTATTGTTGAAAGAAATAGGTCCGGTGAGAGCTGAAAAAAGTGGTAACAGACACAAAAAAAAAAAAATCATAGTAAAACTAATACCTTCTTAGCTTCGCATTGAAGCTAAAAAAGCTTTAATTTTTATGTTATTTAATTTTTTGTAATAGAGCATCTTAAGAGAGTAACTTTTATTCTTAGAAATTAAACCAAAAACAAGACATCTAATTTTTTCGCTGAAAAATAATTACTGAAGAAAGATTAATTTCTGTATTTAATACATTTCCTGTATTCTTAGTAAACAATATATAATTTACTGTTAGCAATTATTGTAATCCCATAAAAATAAAAAATGTTTACCAGTAATGGAAGAATTATTTGTAAACATTTTAATTTTTTTTTTTTTTTTTTATAATACATTCTAATTTATACCCAAGAATATATCCATTTGTCAATCCAGAATAGAGATATCCATTTTTGAAACATTCTTCAGAACATTTCTGTGGAGAATTATCTAAATAATGATTTAAAAATGTTTTTAATAAGCGATTATCGTCATCACTAACTCTTTCTTGCAGACATCCTAAATATATTTCACGAGGGAAACTGTTCGTATCTATAAAAAAAAGCAGAACGTAAACAATTAAGCTACTTAAAACTATATTTTTTATGTAAAAATTTAAAAAAAAATTCATGATATTTAATTATTATTTTTAACATTTCATTAAACATATTTTATAATGGAGGATACAATTTTCAAAATTGCTAAAAATTAATGCTTTTTTTAACTTGTGCTATTTTTACACAAGTGTTCTTACATCAAATATTTGCAACTCCGCAATTTCTTTTCCGTGTAGAAATAAAATTTTACAAAATTGAACCAGATCGTAATAACAATTGCAACATATCGAATTTTGTTTGTTTACTATGAAACGATTTTAATTTGGTTTATTGTGAATCTACGTTGGAATGGTTTTCAAGTTTGTCAGCCAAAATACTAATACTAAACAATGCTTCTCACGTACGTCTATATCTACGGCAAACATAACTCGTATTGTCGTATATAAGGGAGGATTTTATTGCAAACAATATTTGAGTTAAGAGATTGACGTTATGCTTATAATGCGCCAAGTTAAACTTACAATAAATATTAAAATTTATATGATGAAATAAAATTAATTTCTAAGAAAGTATAACGCAAATTTAAGTACTATTTAAAATTTTTAGACCGAAAGAGTTTTAAAAAATATGTTATTTGTGGTATATTATTTTATCAAAATGTTGACATATTTCTCTATATTCAGCATCAGCATCAGTATCATTTTTTCCATTAAATTCCTCATGAATAGGCCTTCAGATCACATTTGTGACTATAGAGTTGGATTCTGATTTTTATTGATTTTTTTTATATACAAGCAAATGTATTAAAATTTTACTTACCAGACACTCCAGTTGTATACATTTGAAAGAAGTTAAAACACGAAGAATTTTTAAAGCAATTGTAATTGATGCAGTTTTCATCTATTTCTTTCATTAATTTCGACACATATTTTCGACTACAACGACAGGCACTAAACACGTGTAAAAAAAAAATACTCAACATTTTAAGATGATGTAAAAAGATACACAATTTTTATAAAATTTTCCTCTCTAAGAAAAAGAAGTATTCTAAGAAAAATGAAATGAATATTAATCTAAGCAGAGAATTATTTTGTACGTCATTAAAATAAATAATTTTTAAATTGTATTACAATTTTTTAAGAATTTCAATAAGTTTTAAGTAAAATAAAAAGTATAAAAATTTAAAATTGTTTGGTAATTATTACTTAAAAATTAAAAAAATTAAAGCGGAGAAATTTGGATGGTTAAAGAGAGATTATTTTCCCTTTGCTAAAAATTAATAGGAATATAATGATTTCAAAAATCAGATTACTTCAGATACAGGAAATTATTTTCTCAAAGTATTTTTATCGTTAATAGCTGAGCTGAGCCCAATTGCGTTAAAAAGTAATCATTTTTAAAGTCCAGAAGGCTTTGTTATAAATTATGGTTTTCATTATTGTTTGAAGTTGATTAGGTTTTCTTACGATTTGTAAACAGCGGCAAATGGGTAATCATTTTCAAAACAATAATTAGCACAATCTTTTTTTGTAGAATAATTTTCTAACTTGTTTTCAGAATCCATATTTTCTTCCAAAAAACATCCTAGGTATCTTGAATTTTTTTCTAAAAATATTGTAAGTTGTGAATATATTGCTAACTTAATTTAAAGTTATTAAAATATTAATATTATTCCATTTAATTAATCAAGCATATCAAAAATTGCAAACCTTTTACACCGAGATATCGTATAGTTTTACAAAAAAGTTATTGCTACAAAATATTAAAAATGATTTTTATAAATATTATACCCTACAATAAATTTTAAAATAACCCTTTAAATAAAAATTGTTTTAGATAATAATTGTTAAAATAGACTTACTAGTTAAAAAAACTTTAATAATTAAGTTTGTTATCTCAGTACTATTAATTATTAACAGCACTGAGATTACGAACTATTATAATTAAAAATATAGCAAAAATTAATGGGAAAATCAGGAATTTATTTTTGTGGGTAAAAGGGGACAACCACTGGTTGTGTCACATAGCAAAATTATACAATTTTGACACAAAAAGTGAATTAAACATTATAAAAATAATAAATTTTTCTTACCATCAAACTGAGATGTTACAAAGTTAAATAATATAAATGTTACACATATAAATTTAAGAGATGCTCTAAGGATTTTTTCGTAAAGCTGATACATATTGTATTTTTCTTAATTCGTTGATTTTCTCTTCAGTATAAATTATTGTTATTTTTCTTCTTTAACTTCTACACAACTAAACGATAATGTATACGATCATATTTAGTACTGCGCGCTACAGATTGTATGGTATAGCACTACAGCAAAACGGAAGTTATCCGCTACCTTTATTACTTGTTGACTTTATAAACGCCCCTATATATTAAATTAGGTTTTCCAACAACTGTAGAAGTCACGGACACTGTTTCAAAATAATTCTCAATACTTTTTATGTACCTAATCATAAATATACATTATTGATTAAAAAAAAGAGAATAATACTTGTTTAAAAAGCGCTTTCTATTATAGACGCAATAAATCTCATATCACTTTTTGTTATGTCTTTAAAAATTAAATTTATATGTTATTCAAGTATAACATATTCACATGCATGTGAATATGTATTTTTTTTCATTGTTGAGTATATTTATAAAAATGTATTAATTTTTTGCTAATAGTCGTTTAAGAAATACATTAATAGTTTTAGTTGTTTTGCTAAAAAAAATTATCATTGTGTTGTTCACAAATGTTTCTATTTGCTCTGTTTAATTTTATAATATAGACATGCAATTCTGTATCGGTGACAACGTACATTTATTTGACGTTTCCCAATCGCTTTATGCTTTTTAATTATAAAAACATTTTGTTATCATTAATTAATATTAAAAAATAAATTATAGTTTTCAACCAATTGCTTCTAATTCATCATTAAGAAAAAAATTAACTAATACTTTAAACTGGTAAATAGATTAAAACCTTTAAAAAATGAATAACAAACGCTAAATGTGGGTCTTGAAATACAAGTAGTATGTGTAATATTTTTTCAATTTCATGAAAATCTAGTTCAAAATTTCTTAGATAATGCCATGTACTAAAAACATTATTTTAATCATCATCATTATTATTATTTTTTTTTTAATTTTTAACAAAAGGTAAAACTATTATCATAACATTTCAGGGAGAACGTTATAAATTAGTAAAGTAAAATAATATTATTGTTATCGTTCAGCCCGACATTTTTATTAATAATGACTGCATGAGCATTTATGTATAAGTTTACACATTTTTTTAAATATGTGTTACATCTATATTATAATATTCATTATTTAAGCTATTATTAATTGCAATTAAAACATTATTCATTTGAATATAAACTCAATGTTTTTATATGATAAAAAAAATAGTTGTTTTAATTCAGTATAATTAATTTCATGGTTCAGTATTAACAGTAGTATAATGTAAACATTTAATGACATGTTACAGTAAAACATACTTTTTTAATGAAAAATACATTAACTAGTTTATTACTCTCATTAGAGTTCAAAAAAAAATTTTAAATGTAACTAAAACAATATTCAAAAAGTTTATAAAAAAAATGTAACAAAAAATTAAAAAATTAAATAGAAGTATTTATAACATTTATGGTCTTTTTATTAATTCTCAGTGAGAGTATATTTGTTCCCTAAAAGTCTCAACTCATGCATTTTAGTCAAAACCGCTGACTAATTGCATATAAATATTCTATTATTATATTATATTTTTTGAAAATATAATATGTAATAAACATATTAGTGTAAAAAACACACACACTATATTATAGTTGTGTAATCTAAGACCATGGTAGTATAGAATAAAGAAAATTTGGTAAAATATTTCAGGACTGGGACAAAGGATTTTTATATTATTTGGTCAATTAATCCATGTTATAACCTATTGATTATTTCATCAAATTTTCACTTATAATAACTCATAACAAGAATATTAAATAAAAAAATAATATTTCACCCCTCTGCTACTCAAAAAAATACTCATGTAAATACTATATTCTTTTCACAAAACAGAGAATAGTATATATTATATATATATATACCTAGTAATATATCTAACTTAAGACTATTTTAGCTTCGATGCGAAGCTGAGAAGGTATTAATTTTACTATGATGTGTTTTTTTTTTTATTTTTATATTTTTTTTTTTGTGTGTCTGTGAACGCTCAATCTCAGCTCTCACTGGACCGATTTTAATGAACAATATGTCAAAAGATCACAAATCGTATCTAGTCGAAGACATTACCCTCAAAAATTGAAAAA